CCCCAAAACCCCAAAACCCCAAAACCCCAAAACCCCGTAATCCAAAAATACCATTGAAAATTAGAACAAACTTCTTACATAACATTTCTACAATTCTAACCTGATGGATCTCTCCCAACCGAATACCTTAGATACATACTTTGGAATATTGGAGCGAGCAGGCTGACCAAGATCAGGAGACCACCGATCCCATCTGTCGAAGTGAATTTGGCATTAAAGATAAAAATATCGCTTAATAGCAAAAAGATCAGATCAAAATACTGCAATGGAGCTACTTGTGATGCCTCTGAATATCTGAAAGCGAGGGATTTAAAGACTTGACCTGCATAAGTGAATAATCCAGAAAAGAAGAATAAGCCAATATCTGTATATCCCATATGATCAAAGTGATATGCTGAAGGATAAACACAAAGTAGGGATAAAGTTCATCCTAATGTAGTCATACTAAACCAGAAAGGACATAATATATAATGGATACCCTTATTTAAAACCCTGGTAAGTAATGCTACAAAAGTAATCGCTATACAGGTGCAAGAAACCAAAATTATACCAAGTGTGTAATGCTCTCCTTGTTCATAATTTTCGTCTTTATGCAAAGTCAAAATATAAACTCCTACAAATGCTCCAATAACAGCTAATACTTTCAGTCTTGTTATCGCCTCTCCCAAAATAAGATATGCAAGAATGCCTATCATCAAGGGACTAATGTTAGCAATCAGTGTTCAAAGACTCAGAGGGATATACTTTATCGCAATGAAATATCAAGGCATTCCAATAGTTCCGACGATACATCTAGCAACAAGCAGCAACCTGTATCCTTTCTTGACCTCAAATACATTAACTCTCGTCGCTCATACCTGAATCATGGATCAGGTCACCATAATAATAGATCTTCAAATAGCGTAATCTAGTCCGTTAAGATAATCATTTCTCATATAAGCAACTTTACATACAATAGATGAACAAGAGAACCCAATTAAGGAAAGAATCATTCAGGGGATTCCTTTAAGGTTATCATTTTGTACATCTCAATCTTCTGACTTTACTGAAATAACACATGAAACATCATGGATCTCATCAAAAGAATAAATCCCTACACTCGGCTTCTTACGAGCAATTGGGCTAAGCTGGAGGTCTTGGTTGAGGAGAATTAAACTTTTCGATGAACTATCCCTAACTTTGATATCCATATTTTACAAAAGAGTGTTTGACAACTAAATAATAAATATTTGGGGTTTTGGGGTTTTGGGGTTTTGGGGTTTTGGGG